TAGTAGTTCACTAAACTTACTGACCACAACTTCTCTGTTTGAGGTCTGACAATACTTATCATTATCATATTAATTTTTATGATAATCTTTTTGTATATTACTGAGCTTCTTTGCAAAACTTATTAAGAGAGGCATGATATAAATGTGATTTATAAAATCAATGAGAAGATATTTTCTTATGTTATTCACCTCCCCAAGGCTATGGAGGCCACAACAATAAAGGAAACTTCTTTTTGTTATTATGGTTACAACCCTTTTTTAAATCATTAATTCCAAAATACACTTAGAAAACGTTGCATCAGCATACTGGTGAAATACTGATCACCTGATTTAAAAACAGATTACCCTTTACCATTATCATGTTAACTTACACCAGAAACAACTTTTCCACCATGATTATAAATATTAGATTATAAAAAATTTAAAGTTGCTTTCTATAAAATATTGAAGTAGAGGATAAGTATATAAATGGTGACTGTGGAATAGACTAATCATGACCAGTATTTTACAGCTCGTTAATTTATTTTACTGAAATTTTCAAAAATACATTGGTGAGCTTGAGGTTCAATGGCAAAACATATTTACAATTATTACAAATATTTTCAGTTTTCAACTAACATTGTTAGGTTGCTGTTTATTTCTTACATATCTATTATGTCGGTAGATATTTTTTTATATAGATAATTTGTAGTTTTTATGAGTTAAGAAAAATATGAAGATGGGAGAGAGATCATTAATAAAAACTCATCTTTATTAATGATCTTTCGGACAAACTAATATCAAAAGTGATTCTATTTGCTGACAAAGCAACTATATACTCTCGACAAAAGTCATCACTCTTTGATCACTTATAATAAGTTGCCGATCTTGATTATGATTTCTGTGACAGCTTTGGACTTGCAATCCCTTGTGAATTTCAATCCAATATAGAAATATCAACAGTATTGCAATAGTTGTTTGCAGTAAATAAATGAATTTTGGTAGGATTTAGAATTCACAAGCCTCTTGTGAATTCTAAATCCTACCAAAATTCATTTATTTAATCCTACCAAAATTCATTTATCTTGGTAGGATTTAGAATTCTACAAGCTCCAATCTCTTACAGAAGTGAGATCAAATTCAAAATCGGCTGTGTTTTCTAAGTGATCAAAAAGAGAAGACTTTTTGTCAAGACACAAGTATAAAGTTAGGGGTCGAAATGTTGTCTGAATCGAAATGTTGTCTACAAGCTCCAATCTCTTACAGAAGTGAGATCAAATTCAAAATCGGCTGTGTTTTCTAAGTGATCAAAAAGAGAAGACTTTTTGTCAAGACACAAGTATAAAGTTAGGGGTCGAAATGTTGTCTGAACCACAAGCCATAATTTTAAGTTCAAGTTTATTTTTCCTAGCCTTTGCCTAAAAATGCAAACCCTACGATGCAGCAGAGTACGGGGTAGATAGGACCTGGTTACTTAATACCAATAATACTGGAAACTAAGGTGAGTGTAAGTTATATAGTTGTAATCACTAGTTGGTAACTAAGCAACACTACACCAGTGATCCAAACAGAACACAAACATTCGTATAGTAACTTACAAGTGAGCTAATGCAGTAATTAAGACACCTCTAACTATGTTACATGTTACCAAAATCAGGGTGATCATAATGACCATATGGGTTATGTGGCACTAAGTTGCCGTGTTACTCAACTTTAACACTGTCCTTGTTTGTGTTTATTTTTTATTTATTAATTATAAAAAATCAAAATCTCAAACTGGAATCTATGCTAATTTTTACGCAAAAAATTATGTTTTTACACCAGTTTGTTCCCTTTTTTTGCTTTCCAAAAAACATTTTTCACAATAGACATCCTTTAGTCTACATTTTGTTATCCAATTTCTTTTGTTCCTTTCAAGTTTGATTCTACTTTATTTGTGTTTGGTCTTCAAAAGAACATCAAAATTAATTTAAATTAACATTAAACTAAATTAGATAATCTAAATATTTACATCAGTGCAAGTTCTTTATTTACTACCAGAATAAAATATTTGTTGTATAATGATTGATTAGTAATGACTAATTGTATATTAATTTTATAAATTAGTTTATTTGTATATTTTGCATTTTTTGTATATTATATATTTAGTCAAGTTCATAATTTATTAGTTAAAGAAAAATGTTGTTAAATAAGTTGTATGAATAATCTTTTTTATTTTAAGATGCAACTCCGACTGAGCAAGAAAAAGGTGTTTGGGAGGTTGTCAACAGTGTATTAGAAAATGCTCCTTCAATCTTAAATGCTCTCAAAAATTATGGTGGAGCTAGTGAAGAAATTAGAATTGTAACTATAAAAGTATATACTAGTGCTATTAAAAATTAAAATCAAGGTTGTAAATCTTTTTTGTTTGTTTAGGCAATTGGTAACCCTAGAGACGATGAGTTACAAGAACTTGCTTGGAAAGTTGTTCTTCCATTGGTTTCTAAACTAAAACTCTTTTATCAATATTCATTGGAATTGGGTAATTTTAAAGCTTTAATATTTGAATATATCAAGATCTAATCATTCATTACCAGGATTCCAATAAAATGTTAGACAAAGACTAGTTTGATTTAAAATACTCCATTGTCACATCTGTAAATGACAGAGAAATCTTTAATAGGGTGGTCAAAAAAATTGAAGTTTGGAAATTCTGTTCCCACAAAGCTTATCTTGTCTTGTTTTATATAAGAGAATTTCTGTAAAAATATTAAGCAAATCAGACAGTATTTATGGGTCAATAAAGTTGACTCTTCAAGTATACAGTATCACACTGTATATTATCTATTGAGTATATCTTTGTCTTCTGAAACAACCTCATTTTCTTCTTTAACAGGTACATTTTTTCTGAACTCTGTCTCTTATCTTTCTCTTTCTGTCTTACAATCCTATTTTTCTTTATTTTAATCTAAATGGAAACAATAAGATTGAAACTACAGCAAAACTATTAAATGCCTATTTTATATACACAAAATTATTCAAGTAATCCTTGTCCCTTTAAATCTCCCCGAAGCCATCTTTCTTTTTTTTGATCCTATAAGAAAGTCAAGTCTTCTTGTACCTTTTCATTATTTCTATCTTGGTTTATCCTCTGTTTAAAATCTGATCTGGATTTGTCAAAAAACAATTTAAATTTCAAAAAATGAATTGTGATGACTTGGTTGTTCTTTTTTCTTTGATTAAATTTTTGATTTATATTTTTCTTCTGCATCTTGCAAAGCTTCTTCCTAATACAATAAAAACTGTTTTTCAAGGGTTCAAATTATAATAAATAAACAAAAAAATGTTTAAATGATAAATGTTACAAAGAAACCAAGTATAAAAAAAAATTACAAAAAATAATCTTTTAACAGAACCCATCAGAATTGCACCTCCAAGTCCAACCCTCTTCCGAATTCTCTTTTTTAATGACATAGTTGTTTCTGTTCTCCCTGTCAAACTAATTGTCAAGGAAAACAAGAAATTATGTATTAACTGTAAATATTGCTTAAGTATTACAAACTAGAGTTTTACAAACTAGATGTTTGCACAAAACGAATATTTTCATTTTCACAAGTAACATGGTGGGAAAAACAATTACTATTTAATTAATTACATTTTTAAATGGTATTTCTTTATTACTTAATAATTGGGTTGAAAGTTTCTGGAAATTTTCCAAGAAATTTTTTCACTTATTACTAATAGTTTTATTCATTTCTTTGTCTCAAAAATATGAGTTTTATCATCCTAGTATTTGTTTATTCTATATTGATTAAAGATCTACAAGAAATAAAAAATAATAAAATGTTAAAGATCTACAAGAAATAAAAAATAATAAAGACCCACAAGCAAAAAATACAGATCTTTTAGTCAAATTTTTACAATCAAATTTATCCATTTAAGAATCTAGCATTTTTTAAAAAAAGCAATAAAACCTCAAGTTGTTATATATTACTTTTGTATACGTTTATTAATGTTGTGAAACAACAAAAAGTATATGTTAGCTTGTCTTTTGAGTTTGTGTATAACATATTTCTAGTTTTTACTTCTCTTAAATATGATGTATAATATTCACAAAATATAAAGATTAAAATCTTTTTTAGATCAACAAGTTTTGTTGTGTATTATTTTTGTAGAGTGTTATAAAAAAAAAAAAAAGTTTTTTATGTGTAAAGATCGCATATAAGATTTAAAAAAATATAGGAAGATTTTTAAGTATAAAGATTGCATTTTAAACATCTTTATAAAAGATACATGAATAAAATCCACATGCTGTGTTAGATTATAATAATTTATTTAAAAATGACATTAGAAAATACATTTGTTCTGAATTTTAAGTAAAGTAATAAATTAATTTGCTTGTATGATACTTATAAAACATAAATTGCCCACTTGGCAGTATTGGTTGAATTTATACACTTAAACCATAATAAAGTATAGCATATTTTTTAATTTATTGATTTATAAAGTCAAAAGTGCAGAAATGTGTGCAGTTTTGATGGTTTGTATGCATGAAGGTCAAAAAGTAGTAGACTTCTGCAATACCTGCATAATGTTCGAAGCTATGTTGAAGTCAATGATGAAATAATTATAGCTCCTTCTTCATTTAAAATATGGAAAATTTTTGGTAGAATTTTATAAAGATTAAATGCTTCCAATCCTGTTCTAGTAAGAACGTCAGTTGATTCTGATTTGCTGAGTCTGTAAATAATCCTTTAAGTATTGAAGAGGAACTTGATCGTGTTATTAAAGAAGGACAATCACCAATGGAACCTTTTAGCCATAAGACATTGTTATCAAAAATTCAAAAAGAAATGATACTACTTGAAAATCGTGGTACATGTGGCAATTATTTAGAAAAAGCTTATTATTTAGAGCAAGCGGCCTTGTTCGTCAAGGGTCATGTTTCGAGTTATAGAGTTGAGAGAGGGTTATAACCACAAATAAGTAGCTTCCTCGTCTGTAGTGGCTTTCTCGGCCTTAAAGAATTAACAATAAAAAATAAAAGAAAATATAGATGTTATACTGTTTTTCAATCCCAGGATTGATGTTTTTCAATCTCGGAATCCTGAGATTGAGAAAAACCTCAGGGATTTAATTACAATAACAAGTGGGAAAACGACAAGTTGGTCGAAAAATTTTTTGTAAATAATTATAATTTTTTAAAAGATATTTATTTTTGTGTCTGCATTTAGAATTTAATTCTGATTTTTTGTTTAGTAAATTTTCTTGATCCATTTGGGTAATAATTTCAAATTTTTCTACAATTTTTGGAAATATTATAGGCAGGCTTTTTTTTGAAAGTTTTTAGAAAAGACCAGTTAAATTTAAAATTAAGATTTTTCCATATATTTTGACAGCCTAGTCTCTTGCATTTTTTTTTATGTTTAAAAGATTGTTTGTGGTTAGTATGTTTTTTCCATTTGCTTTCATTTAAGTGGATATATATTGTTTATTAAGACTATTTTGCAAGGAAACAATATATTTGTAAATAATATTTTTTGGAAAGCATTAGCCATTCATAGGGCATTCAACCTTTTGTTTGCAATTACAATTTTCAGTATTTTTCTCTTTAAGAATTTCATTTTTATTAATCAGTATTGTGGTCTTTTATAATTCTTTTTATATTTTTTGTACAGCTATAGCTTTAATAGTATTTCTATAATAAATTTTGTGCAATTTATTAGAGGGAGGAAAGTGTTTGTCTATTAATGTAAAAAAAATGCTTTACCAAATTGTATTTTGATTAATATTTTGTTTTTTGCAATTTTTATTTTGAATTATAGCTCATTTCTATATATATATATATTTATATATACTGCTTTTTTTAAGGCCATCTTCATACAAGCGTTCAGAAGAATTTTGATTTAGTCTATTGTTAATTGAAATAGGAATTTGTTTTAAGATTGAGGGAGATGATTTGAATTTATATTAATACACGATAATTCATTATTCGATTTTTTATGAAGCCTATTAGAATTTTTCAAGAAGATAAATGTGAAATCAAGAAAATTCAAAACTTTTAAATTGATATTTATTTCAGTTTGGAAGCCAATGTTTTTGAAATTTTTTTTTTTTTTTTGATTTTGTCAAGTTGAAGTCCTGATTTATTTTGCATTGTTATTAAACCATATTTGCGATACAAACCTAATTGATTTAATTGAACTTTCTTAGCTAGAGAATTTAAGATATAAATTAAAATAAGCCTACAAATTCAAAAATTTCTACTTGTAACTTCCCATTGTTACATTAAAGCATTTGTGCATGGTTTTTTTCTTGCAAATCTTATCAAAATAGAATGAAGTTTTCAAGTTCGGACCGTATTCAGTTTTCAATGTTTAATTAGAGAAACAGTATCATCTATAATTTTAATGTTTTTTCAATTTCTATTGTTTTATCTCAAATTTATGCTGTAATTGAGGGGTATATTGTTTTATCTCAAATTTTTGCTGTAATTGAGGGGTAAAGATCATTAATGTTAAATTGTATAAATGTGTATTCATTTTTGTCACTAATTTTAGAAAACCAATTTATAACAACAGTGGTATTTTTCCTCTACTGCAAATTAAATTTTTTTCAAATAATATTATTTATTTTGTTTAATTTAATTTTACTAATGTGCCCTAGTTTGCTTTTTGAAGGGCCTAGTAGCCTTCAAGGGAGATCCCCCTATCATTGTACATCTTACAACTACCTTAAAGCTGACTGGGACTCTTTCCGTGATTTTCTTCGAGATGGCCCTTGGGTAGAAATCTTTCGTCTTCCTGCTGACAAACGTGCTTTTTACATAACTTTCTGGATTTAGGCTTTATTCCAGGTCAAGCCTCACACTTCTCCATGATTTTCCTCATTGTGCTGCTGCAATTTCCAATCGAAACCGTTACTTCCATATCTATCAGCAAAATAATTCTCCAGAAAACAGGCATCAGTTTACTATTGCTAGAAACCATTGTAAAAAGGTTTTGTCTAACGCCAAAGCTCACGGTTTTTAGGTCATAAAATCTCGTATTTCATCACAAAAATTAGGCTCTCGTGACTTCTGGAGAATCTTTAACTCCACTTCTCTTGTATAGTTCAGACTTTGTCACCTCACCTAAAGACAAAGCTGAATTGTTTGCTAAGAACTTTTTATCAATATCATCTCTTAATTTCACTAGTTGCATTTTAACTGATATAGCCGTCAAACAGGTTGATCCAATGCTTGACATTTGTATCAGTCCAGCTTCTCTATCAAAAGTGATTTCCTGATTAGACTCTTCTACAGCTTGTGGTCCAATCAACATACCTGTTGTAGTCTTGCAGAAGTGTCATCCATACTTTCAAAACTGTTTAATAAATGCTTATCGGAGTCTTCTTTTCCAGCATCTGTTATCCCTATTTTTAAAAATTCTGGAGAGCGATCCGATTTGTCAAACTACCGTCCCATTAGTCTTCTTTCGTAAGCAAGGTTTTTGAATCTTTAATTAACAAACACCTAATCTCTCATCTTGAATCTAATAACTT